CTCACGATCGAGCCAGCTAGGCTCGTCTGCGAGACGTTGTTTGATTTAGGAACCATGTTGAGGAAGCGCTAAAGCGAGTTCGTTTCAGAGCTTGCGCTTTGTATTTGCCTTTCATATTGAGTTCGCTGTGAAAACTGTGATCCCCATCCGTCGAGACCGAAGTCAGAAGGGGTGTCCGCCTTGCCCCAAGGGTTTCTGATCTGCCACAAGGGTTGTCTGATCTGCCATTTACACATATGCCTCAGGGACGGGAGGCACCTTGGAACGGCTGATGATGTTAATATTGACCCCTAGGCTCTCGTGGTGAAGGAACGATTGCCGCGGTGCGCTCTCCGCGTATGTTACCTGGATCCAGCATTTCTTGTAGCGTCGTAGAGCCGCCCGTACCTCGAGAGAGATGACTTTACTGACCGTCAGTAGGCCAAATTTCTTCTCCTGTTCATAGCGTGGTAGGTTTAGGCCTACCACAGCCTTCAAACTAAGTTGGGCCATCGACTTGCAATTGCGGTGGACGGAGCCCTGTATAGGCTCAAAGCTGCGAGCAGTCGAGGAACAGCGCTTCATGTGTGTAGATAAATTTGGTTGTCCATTCACTGCATTTTTTACCCTAAAGCACACGTCGTTGCGCTGTCTGAAGCTGGCAGTCTCCGCTCGGTGTTGCCACAGTCATCGCTGCAAGGCCAGCATTGACTTGCTCATCTGTAGTCTTTTGCTGAGGCTGGCGTGGTCTTGGTGATCAGGGTATCGATTTGACATCTCACAGTATTTGTTATCTCTTCTTTTATTCTTTGTCCTGATCAAAGAAAAGAACGGTGCTGCCTCAATTGCTGCAATGTCAAAGTCATCCTCAGGTGTCGTGTATTCTTCCACCGTTGGTCGTTCTAAGATTGAATTTGGCTGCAATATTGGAATTTGGCAATCGAGATCTGAACCCAGCAGTAGCTCGACCTGTTTGCCTTGGCAGGGCGTTCTGAAAATCTCACCTGTCGAAGAGCAAGGTTTCCGTTCCTTCAGATTGGCTTCCTACTAAAGCTTCACTTCATCGAAGCCGGCCGTGAGTGTTGAAAGGTGCATCGATCCTCTCCAGGTGTGAGTAGTATATATATATTTAGCTGCTCGTATTCGATACAGCCTGTGTCTTCTGCGTAGACTTATAATCGGGCGTTGTTGCCATGAAATTGCAACGACCAGCTCACCGCCCATCCGCGCAGGCCGGTCACAATCCAGAAGTTTCGCGATTTTCATGCCGCATACACTGCCTTACAGTGACAATCTTCGCCATGGCCGCTTTCTTGACAGATACTTCCATCTCGGACGCGGTTCTATTTATCTGAGATCTTTGCCCATGACAACAGCTGCCGACTCCCCTCGCTTCGCAGCCACTTGTTGCGCGAAATCTGTACTGGTGAAGAACGCGCCATGGTGTAGATTCTCCCCTTGGCCTTTCTGGTTGCGGTAGTGGTGATGCCCGCTAGTCCAAGTGGGGTTCCAAGGCCTTTTGCTTGAAAGAGGTCCGCGATGAAGAATTGGCCATGCTGAGGAGGTGCATGCTCTGTCTTTGGGGCGAGTCTCGGCGGTTTGGAGGTGGAATCTCTGTCTAATTCCCAGTATACTGATCCCTGCGCCTAGTCGAGGCATGATAGACCTTGCAAACACCAGTTGTGATTTGCTCTTGGCAGCTGGCAGTAATTTTGGTGGAGTAGCGCTACTTTTCTTGGGAGTGGCTGAATGCTGCTTGCATCATTTTCGAGATCCTCATAAACGCATCATTACTCGAAATGTTAATGGTAAGTGAGTAAAGATTCGCTCCCCGCGACGTTCACCTCTGACCCCTGAGTAGACACCCCAGATAGATTGACTTGATCTTCGACTGAAGTGGCATTACGCCTGATAGGTACCGCGTGGATCGTTCGTCTGGGATGCAGTGTCACAATCAAGCATACATGTAACAGGAGGCTCGATAAATCACTGAATCCGAGTGGCACCAACAAGATACACTGGCGATCTTGCTCAATGCATTGGTGTCTTGTATATATTTAGAGTTGGCAGCTGTCCGATTATTAGATCGCCTTCTCCATGTTCTGTCCTTCTGGCTCGCACGATCTCACTCAGCACCATTGATACCACCAAGGCGAAGCCAAACACTTTTTCATCCATTTCTCTCTGGGTTGGTCTTGAGCGTCCAGAGTCTTGGACCAGCCCAAAGTAGCAGTTGAATAAGCTCCCACACTCGAGTCGATGACTTTCGCTCATTGAGTTCGTTGGCAGAGAATGCTTGCTGCAACACGGTCTGACATGTCACCTCCTGTAGTAATGGATATACTTCTTCGGAGTATTCATCTGGAAGGCCATCAGAGTATTCCACATCAGATATGCGCCCTGTTATCTCTATCACCATGAATTTCACGACAGGGAACCAGACAGTAAATCAGTCTCATGCTCATCAGAAACCTTGATATTTGCAAGGTTCGAAATAGCCGTTTGCCAATGATTGCTACGAGCAATGATCGAACTTGCTAACCAATACTGGAGTGGTGATAGTTGAATTATGATCTGATATGCTGTCTGCAGCGCGCGGAGGACCCCCTTGGAGACTTACTTGCTTCTTGTACGTCTCTCTGAGCTCTCGAAGTGGCTGCCCCAAAGCAGGATTGGCTAATCTTGCTTGATCTCTGTGCTCTAGCGCTGGAGGGTAAACCGTAGTCTCATGGGTCAGAATCGAACCTGTTTCCAAGCTGGTGATGGGTATATCGCGAGAGATAGCAACGCTTCGATTGGTGTCATCCCAAAGCTCCACATGGTCGCTTCGTGCTGATAGACCGTCTGCAGCAGCCCAGGAGAAGCAGCTTATGTCGGTCTCTGAGCCTCATTGAGTCTATGTCTTTCCCTTGTGAAGAGTATCTGGCTCGATTTCTTCGGTGGTAGGCCATCTCCCGTGAATCTGTGGATGGATGTTGATAGACTCCCATGTAATACCAGAACTCATCCAGATCGTTGACTTTGATGCCGTCTAAAAGGGATAGATCAAGATCCCTAAGCTGAGGACGGGCCAGCATAGTCTCCCTGAGAACTGTGTTGAAGCAGCTGGATTCGCCGTCCAGCTGGAGAGCCAGTGTGCTACATATGAGTATTGCCTTCCTATAGATTCCGACAAAGATGAGAACCTCTAGGCAAGAAGTCGTATGTGGGCAGATGTCTCACAGTACGCGCGTTGATCTGCTTCACGGAAGCATCTTGCAACAGGCTAGATGATTTGGTGTTGGATAGTATATATATTTAGAGACAATATCTGCTACTCGAACCCCTCAAGAGAAAGAAGCAAGAAGGTATGAGACCGAAGTCTATGCAAAAGAAGAAGAAGGAGAAGAAGGAGGGAGATGACGGCTCTTATATACCCACAACCATCCTTACACATTCATGAATTGGATTCTGTCTTACACAATTACATTCACATTTTGTCTGAGACATCAAGATTCACACACATCGTGGCGCGCGGAGGTGTCTGAGACAGGAAACTGGGTGTTGGTGAATGCCTTGGACGCAATGCAATCAGGATGAAGGGAATTTGTAGCTTAAGTGGAAGCTTCACCTCGTGATGCGAAGAGTGTTCCATCATCTGTGTCTCGGAAATGTGTAAATGACTGCCATGCTATTCAGAAGTCATGCACCAAACACTTCGAAGAACATTTTGCATACTGAGTGGAATCTCCATCCCGTCATGTAGACAAAAGCATACTCCATCGTGTAGTATCATTACACGCGAAACATCTCACCACCTATGAGAGAACGTAAACGAACTACGACAAAAACCAAGCGGTGTAATGGCTGGAATGTCCACCCCATCACACAATTCGCATCACACTTCCATACCCGCCTCCTCATGGCGGTGAATCAACATTACGAGACATGCGCATATGCTAAGACTTCGTTAACCTCACACAAGCTGGGGCGGAACGGCAGGTGAATTAGCTACCTAGGTCACGTACCTCACAGCGGTGTGAACAGACTGAGACATGAGCGATGGTGTCTTTTGCCACTTCTCAAGCTGCATGTGTTTGGGTGGTCTGTGCTGTGGAATATTCACCTACCTCCTCGACTGAGCTGGTGAAGATTTTCGTCTACGTTAGGATCAAGAATTCGGAGTGCGTATCTTCAACAGCTGTACTCTTCAAGTATATCGAAGTCACGTAGCGAGAAGCTGGAAGATCGGAGAGGGGGCGGGGCAAACAATGCATACATTACTACTATCTATCCCTTAAAAGATGTGCTGATTGATACTCACGGCCCAAGGAGCGCTTTCGCCTCTGGTACCTCTCCAAGCATTGACCAATCCTTTGCATAGAAATCAAATCTTTGCATACGAAACATATTGAACATGTCCACGGCTTAGTCTGCCTCCCTAATGAAACATTTTCTTCTCTGTTCCATCCCAGGTTGATGAGAGTTCACGGCCTGCAGTTTTCAGCTGTAGTGCCTCTCCGGAAGGACCATCTTCCTTCACTACCACAACCATTGTAAAAGAGACTTGACGACCCACAATCCTAGACTGTGGTGCCTTCCTAGCAAACACTCTTTCCCTTGCAACACTCACTGTAGTTACAAAACAACCAGCCCAAAGTCTTGCACCAACTTCCGTGCCTTTCCATGGCCAGTTAAACATATCGCTCTGAGTCCACACGGTGATTTCCGCCGCTCCAGCTTTTTAATTGTTTATCGCATCATACCTTTTTTCAAGGTTTTTTTTTTTTTGGAACTTCATCATGCTTGATAAAACATGAGTCGATGTTGAAATAGTAGATGCAAAGCAAACTCGGCGGAATAAAGTTGCTGCTCCATCAGACAAGGGGCACATTGGTCTCTCCTAGAAATGTTCGATTTTGTTGCTCCGCGCGCATTTGCAAAAATCAAGCATGTCCTTCAGAATATAACAATTGCTGTTAAGATCCCACTGCCAGCGAGACGTACACTCTTCCTCGTTGTCAAAGACTTTTCGCACCTGACTAAACCGTAATTACAGACAACTTCGCAAAGTCGTCCATGGCCATTACCCTATGCTGTCCATTGCAGTGGAGCAGTTCGACTGAATTCTTCTTGCGCAAATTGAGCGACACCGCGACACCTGGCCTGGAGCGCGTGCAGGGACGGCGTGGTGTTTGTGTGTTTGCTTCATTCGTCGTCTGAGATGTAGAGTGAGGCGCCTTCTTCTTTTTCTTGTCTGCCTTCTGTACGGTACGGTGAACAGGCTGCTCTTCCACTTTGTTCGTCATCTCTACCTCGGGAGGTGGCGTCGTCTCATCTTTGTTAGCGACCTGTTCTGCAAGTGGCATTGTTGCCTTCTTCTCTCCGCCGACGCGGTCTGGTGTAGGAGATCGTGATTGCTTTTCCTCTTTGTTCATCGCTTGCGCTGCACGACGAGGTTTGTCTTTCTTTTCTTTGTTGATCATCTGTAATGTATTTGGTTTGGGTTTGTCCACCGTCCATTGGTCCTGTGGAGTCTGATTGTCCAGGTCCATGCCAAATTCCATGCAATCCATATCTGTATCAGTATCCTCAGAAAGGTCCATGCCCCGGTCCAAGTCTGCAAAGTCCCACGAACCTGACATCGGAATTGCATCGGGAGTGCCTGATCGAGATCTCTTACGAGGCTTTGCTATGTCCGCCTCGACCTGTAAGTCATGTTCTTCTTCGTCAGATGTACGCTTGCGCTTCTTCAAAACCACATATGAGGCTTGGGAGAAGGAAGGCGGTGCGAGAGCTGTGGGACGATCCTTTTGCAGCAATTCCAGGTGCACTTGCTTCTTCGCTTGCTCGAGACAGTACCGTTCGTGTTTCCGATCGAGCTCATCGGCCAAACTACACTCCAATTCATATTGACGATCCTCTTGCCGAAGCATCTCATTGAGGTCCGCCTCCTCCTCAATCAGGTCCTGACACTTTATCATCTCTCCATCCACCATGACGTATTCTTTGTGAACATTGTTTTTCTGGAATTGCCTCCATTCATAGGTTATGTTTCCCTGTCGGGAAAGTAGGTGCTGGTCCCTATCCTTTTCTGGCTTCATCAACTCGCCTTTGATAATATCGTCTGCCTTGTCTAGGCGGTCGAGGAAGTTTCGCGCGTTCTGGCGTCTCACTTCAATCGGGAGGATAGCGGGAGGCTTGTGATGGTACGTGGCGTACATGTAGTCACAGTTTGGTTCAGGTGACATGGCTTTGTCAATCTGGGTGACTTCTGACTTTGAGGATGATGAATGCATCGTAAATGGAGGGTTATTGCTGACTTGTATCTCCGTGATGTGGAATAAGTTCTGCGTGGATGTGGTATGAAAGATGAGAGTTTGTTGCTGAGTGTGAATTTGAATGCAGGGTTTTTTGTCGATGAGCAGATTTGGTGAGGTGAATGAAGAAAGGAAGGGAAGAAGATGAAAGATGTCCAAGGCGTTTTGGAAGTGTCTGCCAAGACCCATAACAGGAGTGTCACTCACGAACACATGAGGTCACGCCTAGTCGACGCTCACGCCTGAACCGCAACATGTGCCGTTGATAAGCGTAGGATTCTCCGTGGTGACACGTGAGAAGACAACACTGTGTGGATTCAGAAACTTCCACCTTCAACAATGTCTACAAATCCTGAGACTAGGCCATTCTGTCGTAGCCTTACAGTGTATATCCCTTATCTGGCACGACACCATCACTGTGGCGTGATCGAACATTGAAATCTCACCGAGACCTCTGGAGCTCACAGCACTCACGTCTTAACCCTGTCTCACCCCACCCGTGATACAAGCTATACACGTTCCTCGACACAATAAGCATAATGGCACTCTTACAGGCTTGGTTTTCTGGGTATATAAAGCTGCTTCCCTCCAGATCTTCTTTTTTTATTTCAACCCAACCCGACTGTCCAAGTCTCACAGCATTTCAATCGCGAATATCACGGCTCACAGCTCGTTCACGACAACTACTTCACTGCTCTTACAACTGTCCATATCATCACCACCACTCTTATCACCACTGCAAGAGCTTTCAGTTTCGTCTTCGCTTCTTAGCTTAATCACCTGCAGCACTTCACAATGGACAAGACAGACAGCAAGTCATGGGAGGTGAGGCTCTTCGGAGAACGACTATCAGAGCGCCCGTCGAATCGTGATCATGCCATCGGTGAGCGCCTACAGAAGGACAGTATAGCCAGTAACAACACCGAGAGAGGACTCTATCAAGCAACAAATTCTCCGGGACAACATGATGATGCCTTCTTGAGGATGACTCCTCGGGGTCATGCAGCAGTATCAGGATTCCATGACCTCGTCAAGCTTCGTAACACGGAGCAGCTGACTTCACTTCAAGCTCAGTACATACATGTGACAGGCAGGAATCATGTATCAAAGATAGAGGCGATTGTCGATTCCGAAACCGAAAGCACCATTGGCCATAGGCTTCACCACCGCGAACTTTATGAAGGACACTTTGTCCTCGGATGGCACCTTAAATCCTTAAGTCGACCTGGAAGGTTTGTCTTCGGCCTCGGACTGGCAGGATCAGATGACGGAGGCTCAGATATCCTGCTCGCTCCACCATGTTCTCCGTGGTCTGACTTTATCCAACGACAACACTTTACAATGCAGATGCATCCTCTAACGGGAGCATGGACAATCAAAGCGCGTGCCAAGATGAGAGTCGGCACGGCTGTTCTCGAGCCAGGTACATCAACCTGTCTGTCTAGTCCCTCGACAGAAATTGAAATCAATGGTATGCTATTCACTCTAGAATTTCTCGTCGAGACCAGGGAGCAAAAGCGGACCTACATCGAAGCGAGGGACAAAGCTCTCATAAAGCAATCTTCCTTCCCAGGTTCTCGTGGCTCCGCGATACCCTTCAAGACCGATATGTACTTTCATGAGGCACTATGCAGTGGTACAAGCATAGGTTGTGGATCATTTGGAATGGTTTCTGAAGGGTATCATCCAGAGACTGGCGACCCTAGGGTCATCAAGCAAATTTCAGTCAAAGATAGTCCAAGTCGCTTGACCGTACAAGATGAGATAAAGGCTTTGAAAGAACTCCAAGGGCATATTGGCATCACAAAACTCTTTAGCGTTGAGACGCTACGTGGAAACGCGACCTTGACGGAAGACATTCCTTACCAGGTCTACCTTATCCAAGAGAGGGGCATTTCCTTCACCAACTTACCAAATACTTTTGGTAATTTCCATGCACACCGGAACGCATGTTTGATGTGGGACCTCTTGATGGGACTCCATGCAATACATTCCAAAGGTTGGATGCATCGCGACATAACACGCGCAAATATCTTGTACTTCAACGAAAACCCACCCCGGGCAACTTTGTGCGATTTTGGAAAGGTGTGCTTCGAAGTCAACAGCACTGACTATCGCATCGCCGCTTCAATCTATCTACCTCCGGAGGTCAATGGAAGTAGGCGATATGACAAGTCCATTGATATCTGGATGCTTGGCCTGGCATTAGCTAGCCAATTTTACAACATGAACGCCACTCCCAAGCACGCCAACACGTATCCAGGCTTTATAAAACGCTTGCAACAGGACAAGACATCCTTCATACCAGGATTGCTCGCTATCATGATGGCATGGAACCCGGCAAATCGCCCAACAGCATCACAGCTTCTGAGACATCCGGGTTTTCAGCCCATCGCGGCGCTCAAACGTGGAGCAATGGGAGGGAGTAAGCGCTCTCACTCGAACACAGAGACTCCCAACGGTGGAGCATCGAAACGAATCAAGCCAATCGAGGAAGATGGCAAGGTCACAGATGAAGAGGTCCTCAGGCTAGGAGGAGACACTCAAGCTGGTTAGATTACGCCATTGGTGCCTTTCGTATCGGTAGGTAGCCGAAGGCCACGTCGATTATCGCCGGTCTTGAAAAGTGAATAAATCTGAGAGTAACACACACAACAATAGTGTGTGAAACAAAAAGGGTTCGAAGCCCCTAAATATATATATACCAACAGCCCAGCGCTTGCGACATTTCACTTGTCGAAGACTGCCGCATTCTTCCTCATCCTGCAATCGGGGTTCACACCAAAGTGGAGATAGCGGAAACAACGGACGCGTCCACCCAAACTCAGATGCTATCAGAGAATGCAGATCCATTTACCTTCCCCTCTACCACGGCGTCTGTCAGTCACGTCGAGTTTCGACCGAGCTCCAGCATAGAGACTCAGCATTGGTGAAAGAAAATTTCAGAAAATACAATGATAAGATACAGAGTTTGCGATGTCAGCTTCACTCACATACAAAATTGGGAGGATACTAATGATCTAGCTTGGGCTTTGCTCATGCGGAAAATCAGTCCTACAATACGCCATTTCTTTGATCACAAGGCAAACCCCCAACAATATAAAATGATTACCAAATCATCATAAGTCTATCATACGATACATCTTGTGTTTAGCAAAGAAGTGAAGCTACCGAAAGACACCCTTCCATCCCCGAGCTGGCTGTTGAGAGCTAGTGCGGTCACACCTTCTGCTCGATTTGCATTGGAAAAAGGGTCCATGATCCAGAGCGAAAACCTCCTTGCCCCTATTGTTGGAGGACACTCTTTACACTACGTCCTCGACATGAAGACGAAGAATTATCGGAGGCGTTCTTAGAGCACACCCGCCAAAATCAAAGCGAATAGCTGACGAGCTTCTCATCTCTATGCTCGCCTGGAACTCGCCGCAACGATGAACCGCGTCTCAGCACTAACGAAAGCTGTCTGAAGCAAGACGGCGAGCACACCGTCACACAATCATAGTTGACTTTTGACTGCGACTCGCCATGTCAAGTCATTCTTGTGGTGAGGAGCAGAAGCATGTGTGAGTACGAAGCCGTCGATACACAGCGGAGTCACGAGATGAGGATAGGGCGTCGCCGCCCCTAAATATATAACACCCTGACTAATGACAGACACTCCCCATAGCAGGATGGAAGGGAGGCATTTCATGATGTCAGCAGAGATATCCGTCATTGACCTGATCATCTCGGATCTAGGGGCGCAGTTCCCAAAGCCTCTAAGCTCATGCGGCTACACTATGGTGGCGAAAGGGACAATGTTCCACAAAGCATTGACTCCAGCAGCAACGACGGCTAGGATACTGCAGATGACCAATGGCGTCTTAGCTGCTGGGAGCATTGCGGTGTCCAACCCCTGGCGTGGCTCGAATCTGGAACAAGAGCTGAGATCAAAACATGTCGGCTGGTGGTAGACAGTGCCCCCGAGGATGATGAGAGGAGATCAAGTGCTTTCTAAGTTCATCGAAGACCTAAAGCGATATACAGGACACCCCCAATCCTAACTCTCATAGAAGTGAAAAGCAGTGCTCACCATCGCTCCTCAGCAACATCTCCCATTCTCCAATCCAGGCGATGGAAGACGGCGAAAGATCTAAATATATATAACATCCAGCATCGCCACGGTGCTCCTGCAGCTAGCCAGTCAGCGACGCTGCACGTGCTTCCTCCCCTCCCCCCCTCCCTCCCCCCTCCCCCACTCCTTTCCCCGGACGTGCAGCTACGACTACCAGACATTCCGAGCAGAGTCAGACGAAAGCTCTTTGATCAATTATGTCGGGCAATCGAGACGCAGAAGATCAATGTTGGCTCAACCAACAGAGATATCCGCTCACTTTTGGGAAGGTTGGATCTAAAGATACCAATGTGGATCCCACTTCACAACCGCAAGCTTCTGCTCCAACCCACAGGTGTCCAGATATCAAAAGGTTACGCAGAGGTCGCCGCAGAGCGCGTCCGCATCGATCGGTTTCCTTAGAGGGCGGTGGGGGAAGCAGCATTACCTACTGACCAGACAGGCTGGATCCACTTTCGCCGTGACTTTTCGAATCAGCGCGCAAGTTGAGGTCGCGAATGCGAGAGATGCCGCAGAGTGGGCGTGGTATGCAAGATGACTCAGTGCATATGGTGGGTTGTGGATGAGAGGAGGGGGGAGGACGCCAATCAATCTCGACGCCCAACGCTGGCCCTGTCGTCCTTAATAGTCAGAGCTCTGTAACTGTGGTTGGGCTACTGCAAGAAGGCGCCGTACTGCATCGCTGGCTGGGTGCTGGTTCATGCGGTGGTCAGATTTTGTGGTAGTAAGATGGTAGCTGTGACAATGCTGCTCATCTTGGCTATGTTGGGGTGGCGACGATACAAAGGGCAAGGTGGGTGGGTGGGTATGAAAATCAGGAACGTCACAACCAACGCGGCATGGACGACGACGGCGACGATGATCCACCAGATGAAGGCCGTGGAGACACTGGGATGAGGGATGCCGATAGCGACGACGGTGGTTTAAAAATCAGGAACCTCACGACCAACGTGGCGGCGACGATGAAGACACCGAAATGAGGGATACCGATGGCGACGACGTGTAAAAGAGAGAGTGGTTTTTGGATGGAATCGATGTCGATGTCGCGTTGCTGGTAACATAGTTCTCCCACTGGGAGTTGACGGTAAGAGATACTGTGATACATCAAGTGCAACATCCTGCGAGGATGGTTGATTAGGAGAACATATTTAAACAAGAGTAGAAAAGGCTGCAGTGGCTCTTTTGATGATCTTATTTGCGAACATTCTCAGGGTTGAAAGTTATGTAAGAGGTTGTGAAGGGTTGGGAATGTATTGGTTTGATGTATGATGTGCACTGTATTTCTTGAATTTACGGAGACGGGAGATTTCTAACGTGCATGAAAGGCTTGGTCGAATGCGTAGATCATAGGAGCTTCTCGATGGATTCGGTACTGTCTTAATTGAATATCACCCAAGACGAGAATAATTGTATTATTTTAGAGGATCCCTATTATTGTTTTATATCTGCGCTGGATCACTGAGAACCACTACGTAAAGATCTTTAAAAACACTGTCATTCTCACGCCCCGCTCTCGTTTTTGAACAGGATTCAGTCCCCGCTAAGATTTCTTGATACTTTACGGACAACGACACAGTAAAGTGGGGTTGTCAAGTAGCGTCTGCAGAAATCTTCCACCCCATTGTCCTATAGGTGAAGACCTCTGTTTGATATCTACTCATTTCAACCTTCTACCCAAAGCCAACGCGCCTCCGCTGTCTTGATAACCAACCGAGCATAACGCCTACAATCTAGCTTCGCACGCCCTTTCCCTCCAGTCCGTGCTCAACGTCTAGAGAATGGGTACACATCTTCTTCACCAGAGCTCCAACTACTCATCGCTGACGCTTGTAAGATTCACGAGGAACAATCGCATGGCGGTATTCAGAAGATGACAACAGAGGGACATGGACGATAGAAAGTGAATCTAAGCCAACACTTATGGCTGTGATGATCGCTATCAGTGTTTGCTGCGTGCTTGTGTCCTTGGCTGTGGCTTACCTGCTACTCTTTCTGCTTCCTCACGTTGAGGCAGGGTTTCGGCAGATCTGGTCAAACTCAGCAGATCTGATTGCAAGCTGGAAATCTTGGAGAGCGTACATTCGACAGCAAGCTAGTGTTGCTTCTACGCTTACGAGATCTTCAAGTCGGCGGAATGCTCTGCGATTGCAACAAGCCTGGAGCGTTCTGGTGGATGGCCTGCTATACGTACTCGCGGCACTTTTACTGGATCTTATGGCGGAGTGTCGGAGTGGAGTCTACCGGAAGCTAAGGACAGTCTGGCTTGAGAGCGCAGTCTACGAGGATCTGAGGATAACTCGGTCGTATATCGGGCCTACGATGAATACTGGCGTTGGGCAAGCAATGTATCGGTTGCTGAGGAGTGTGTTGCATTTTCCATGGTCGTCAATTCTAGAGAGGTTGCCCAAGTCACCCGCGTGTTGGCGGATTTTGCAAGTCTTTGCGTGGATTCTCTATAAGAGTTCTCCTTGCCTAATCACCACGTGGTTCTTTGATCGAGGCCCACTGATGGACGGAAATGGTCTGCGTAAACTGGCTGTTTTGGGCTATTGGGGTGTTGCGTGGGGGCGTCGAGAAGTATGCCGTAGGGCGAAGGTCGCGTACAAACGGTTCTTGATGGCTATAGCTCTTTTCATAGCATCTTATGCTCTTCGGCTGGTAAGTAATGGCCTGGATAGCTCTGTTTATACAGACTCATACCGATTAGGCACAATGGGCTGGACCTAAAATATCTATGATGCCGATCTTCCGCTCAGAGAAATGTTGGATATGTCATGACCGATTTTCGACTGGACATGAGAATCGTGTCATCCTTCGATGCGGTCATATACTCGGGGATCAATGCATAGCCATTTGGAAAGAATCCTATCGGTCGCAGGGTCGAGTAGCTAGGTGCCCATATTGTGACGAAATTGCGTCCTAAGACGCTGTGGGAACTGGTGTCGGGATCTGATTCTCCATGTTCGAAGCGTAATATCATGGGTACTTTGCGGTATATCTCTGAAATGATGTATTGTTTTCATCAGTCTTGACGTGTCTATCATTCTACGACGATTGCGACATCTGATGATTTTAACTTAGCTCAAAGCATCTAGGTATAAGGAGGGAGAACACAAACATCGACTCGTTGCGGAGACGAAGATAAACGAGCTTACCAATCAAGTCTCTAATTCACATAGATGTGTAACAAAGAAATTCCATTGCTCATTAGCTTGGCGCTGAAGTGGCCTTCTTCTAGGTAACTATGATAGTCCACCAATGCCATGGATTCTGAGTTTTGTTACTGTGTCGACCGTATCCACAGATTCGCGTCGCGTCCACCTTTTGAGAATCGACACCCTTCATATTTGCCACTTTGTTGACGTCAATTGCCGTCTGAAAACAACAAGACGCGTAGAGGAAGTTTTCAGTCTTTCCCGCGCTTCTTCTGCCCCAAATCCCT